AGGGACAGACATTGAGATAGAGGAGTGTGAGAAAAAGTACGTTTGGTAAGGAGGTACGATGAAGGATGTGAGGGTGACAGAAGGCGAGAACAAAAACAACAAATGTGATAGCTGCAGGTGAAATGAAACGGATGCAAAAAAAAAAAAAAAAAGATGAGGGAAAATGTTTAAATAGGAGAATGGGGAAAAGAAGGGAGAAGGTGAGCAAGAGGGACAAGATACACAGGGAGAGAGGAGCTCCCCGCTGATATGTACTAAACAAAAGACACAGAAAGGAAATACAAACACCTCGCACAGCTAGGGAGGGAGCAAGAAATCCAGACAATACACAAATGAAAAGAGATGTACATAGACAAAACAATACAAAGGAATGTAACACTACAGTAAACTGTGGATTATAATTCAGTGAAAAAAAAGTATCTTAAACCCTTTGAAATATGTTTTAATTTGCATTTCCAGACATTTTTGAGTGAAAATGGCAACTCCAGACCTATTTTGATGGCGTGACACTAAAGTTGAAAAATATGATTTAAAAATGACATCTCCACTGTACAATCTGAAAACTGCCTTTACAAGCACATTTTGGATCAAAAAGATTTAACACAATTTTCCTTTAAATTACTGGTTGGCCAAAGCATGACACCTTTACCCTCGGATGTTCTATGTCTGTAAATGTGTAGCAAAGTAAACAACACATATTCTACTAGAATTACACACATTAGTGAGTAAGTATTTCATAGCTGGACATCATTTGGTTGCCGTGATGGACCATTGCTGATGAACCTGCAGCAGGTCTGCAGGTGGCAGTGTTTGCCCTTAATATAGCTGAGGTTTAGAGAAGACACATTTGTGGAAAATCTAAAGGCATGACAAATATACTACCAGTAGTAAACAAGATTTTAAGACAAAAAAAATTCTACATTCCCTGTTATTAGGAAACAAACTGACAAACTAATACATAATAAAAGGCACATGGTCCTATTTACACCTGGTGCTTCAGACCCAGATAGAAAATATGACAGAGTAAAAGTGCCATCTTGTGGTGCAAAACAACTACTCACTCTGCGCACACTAGCAAGTGCAGCAAGGTCAGGTCTCACAGAAGACATAAGCCCCACGAAACTCTGTCAAATAGGACAGAAAAGAGCTCAAAAAAGCAAAAGCATAAAAACAGTTTTGCAGGGAAAAGCTGAAACCCCAGACAGCAGAATTCAGCATTTCATAGGAATATAGCAGCAGCCTGTTAAGATACAGATGCAAGTGAAAATGGGAAGAAATTCAACAAACAGGGCTCCTGAAAGATGAAGCAGTGGTTGTGGCAGACTAGTCAGAACTCACGGGACCCACCACTGATGCTGCAGTCCTTTCTGAGGGGGGAATCATGTCTGGAGTGAGAGTGGAGGGTGGGTCCACACCTTTAGTGACCTTCTGCTGGATCAGATGCATGGCCAGAGAGAACTGCTCCCGAGTCAGCTTTCCTGTCTGTTTAGTGTCAGCTAATCCCCTGGAGACAGAAAGAGAATCTTCACTCAAAACTTTATTTATCAGATAATACCAGAGGAAATAATACCCAATGGAAACACAGGCCCCGAGTTTACCAGTTTAGCTAGTTCCACTTACTTGGTGTAGCCCACTTAAACCATCTTAGAATCTTATTTTGCCCACGTCTTCAGGAGAAAATGTAATGATTTAAACTTTCCACAAAATGGTGCAATAGTGTTAAACCCAGTGCAACTTACTTTCCATGAGTAGGGATGATTCAGTGCTATTGAAGTATCCAGGAATGATAAAAGAGCTCTGGTAAGATCAGCTGTATAGAGGACCATTTTCTCTTGAAAATTAAAAAAAACAACAACAAAAAAAAAAACAACAACAAAAAAAAAAAACTATAAACAGTGAATGTTACTTTGCCATTTAAGGGCCGACTAAAAAAATGTTGTATTTTGGGTTTATTTACTATATAATGTGGCCTGCTGCACCTACTTCAAATGGGGATGACATTAGGCTACCAATGCACCATTTGTCTTACATGGCAACAGATTAGAGTCTAGGATAGAGTGCAACCCTTCTCTGTTAGCACTTCTTTAAGCCACATGTGTCAAGTCGGTGAACGCATTTCCTACTTTGATTGCACTTTCTTAAGTTGTTGCACACTGAGCTACCTCAGCCACTATAAATTGTCAATATATGGGAAAAAAAAGTGTGAAAGTAAAGAGGAAAACATCTGCAAACAATTTTGAACTGAGCTGTGTTCTCACCATATCTGTGCCAGCATTGTCTGGGAGAGACTGGACTGCATGAAGATCTCTATGACCTCAGTGCCGCTGACGAGGCCGTCATTGTCGGTGTCTGTTTGTTTGAAAATGTCATCATATCTCTCCCTGTCAGCCACCGGTACCACCCAGTTCACTGCTGGCTAGAATATACAAAGGACATTTATGTGATTTTAGATGAGGGAGTCACATCTAGTACAAGCTCACAGTTCTTACAGGCTCGACCTAAAATAACAGAGTTTATACATTATTTTACTTGAAAGTAAGAAATGAACTATACTAGCCAAACATTTGTTAAGAACCCTCCCTGTGATGAAAATGTGCTAGTTAGTTCAAATATTTGTCTCAAACATGATTTATCACTGACCTATCACAAAATACTGGAAATAGTATTATGTCAAATCTAAGAATAAAACTAAACTGCTTGAACTAGATAAGCAAATCTAAGTGAGAATATACAGTATATGCAATATATTTTAGTGCACAAATGCACAATTTCTGTAAGAAACAATGTATAAGGGCTCCAACAAAATGTGATATGGACAGTCAAGCGTTTTGTTTCAGGTAAGTTACACAGAAAATATAAACAGGGGGAAATTAAAATGGCACTGAAAGAAGGACATGACTGAAAAATAAAAGATGACATCACAAAAGTGTCTCAACAGCCAGGGGCTCATGGTACAAGTGTGAGCAGCGTTTTGTTTCTGTCTATCAAGGAAACCTGTTTCTCCCAAAGTCACAGTGAAACGCTGCTGCAGGCATTAAAAGGCAGAGAGAACCGCACTAGCCTGTGCACAATGCTTACAACTATGTGGCAAAACAAGTTCATCCACTAGCAACAGAAAATAATCAATAGATGAAATGCTGGTTCCTGTAAAACACCAGGCTCTGCTCTCGTCACACTTAGGGAGAAGCAAGAAAAAATAAAATGCATTGATTGTTCCTGGAACCATCTTTCTACCTTTTAATGTTATGCAGCAAATCATTGCTCTGAACATTAGTTTGATCATTTTATGTAATATTTCATACAACATTGTGGAAGTATGGAAATATAGGAAATTAATTTTCATT